TGTGTGTGTGTGTGTGTGTGTGTGTACGTGTGTGTGTTTGTGTTGTTTGATGTGTTGACATACTGCAAATCAATTTCCCATTGGTGACAATAAAGTTACCACTGAGCACTGAGACTGATCATCTGGGGAGACTCCTGAAGGTCTTCACTAATGACTCCCACCTAAATGGAGACTGAGAGGGTCTTTCTGATCAAGCAATGCAAGGCCTGCATATTTACCCAGGAATCATTTGAGGATCTGAAGGTTTCTTGTTCTGAATAATCTGAAAGAATAGAAATAATTATTTTTTTAATGACAAAAGAAACAAGGAGAAAGACTGTGATCCTCATTTTCAACTCATGACATTGTGGAAGGACAAAAAAAAAAAAAAATCAACTTGACGGGGAAATGATTAAAAAAAAATACAAAAACAAACATATTCTGATTTGCTCAGGGTTAATATCCCGAAGAAGCAGACAAGATGTCCAAAGCTTTCCTGTCTTCACTTTATCTAAACTGCTTTTTGCAAGGTTTGAAATTATTTGTTTAATTTTCTTTAAATGATTCTAGAAGCTTTATTTCCCAAAGTAACTGTTTTTTATCATTAATTGTTCATAAATTGATAAAACAAATCTGACTTCACCAAACATTTTAAAAGGAAGATACATCCATCCATTATTGAGTTGTAGGTTCTTAATCATACTTTTGTCCCTGAATATTTTAATTATTCCACGTTAAACTGGAATCTGGTTTCTTCATTCATTTTCACCTTGTTTGAGTGAATATTCTGAAATATCTTGATAAGCTCATAATTTAGCAGTGCTCTAGTGTAATGTTCAGATGAACAGAATTGCATCATTAGTGTACAGTGAGAGCATTTTCAGTCTGTTACTAGACAGATTTGTGAACTGTTACAAAGATTTGCTGTTAGTCTGAGAAGCAGTGGTGATGGTGAACAGATGTTTTGTCAGCTGTTTTTGATAAATCGTTACTGAGCTGACAGCACAGCAACCTCTCATCTCTGTGTTTAAGTCTCTGTACCTCACTAACAAAGACTGTTGATTAGTTAATTGATTTGACTGTTTACTGATGTTTTGATGTAAATCGATTCTGTTTTATTGCGAAAGGGCCTTAAATCTAGCCTGGAAGAAACAAAATATTACTTTACCAGGAAAACAACCAGCATGATCCTGAATCGACTTCAGTCCCACTCCAGGTGAGCAACTTTAAGGTCCACATTGAAGCAGTCCTAACCCGGTCCCAGCTCCTCATCAGATGCTGCTTCACCTCAAAGTCAACTCTTCCATTACCAGCCAGTTTTCACTGCCTGGTGATGGAAGAGGTTACACACATAATGAAAGTAATGGCTGCTATAGGTAAATCAGTGTGAGAGGAAACACCCTATATGAAAGTGTTTGTGTTTTAAATGTTTGGGTCTGTCAGACTGGAAATGAGCTGCTATATTAATAAAGTTTAGGCTGTTTGAAGGCAAAGAAAAACTGTCTTAAAATCCAACTGTGTGAGAGAACAGACTGATCAATATCACAGCTTTATGATTAGGACGCTGAAGAACTTGATGGCTTATATTTGATTATTTCATTAAATTAATGAAATTTCATTAAATTATCAGCTGAATTTTATCATCTGAGACTCTGAACTATAAGATTATTCAATGAAGGATCTAAACTGTCACAGAAACAAGTAAAAGTGAACAAAGACAAACGAACATGAAAATGATTAAAATCACAGTTTGTATGCAGTTATATTTGATTTCATACTGACTTGTAGTATTAACGCGCTAATGTGTAATGACGCTGTTTAAACAGCAGGCGGCACTGTGTAACACATGACGTAATCCTTTGGCATCAGGTGACTTACCCGGAAAGAGAGACGAGACTTCACGGGAACAACAGCGATCAAAACACGATCCTGCAGCTGGATTTTAATTTGAAATATCAGCGCGAAGGAAGGTAAGAAAACATGAGCTAACAGGCAGAGAGGAAGATGGAGGCCGGCAGGAAGCAGCTCAGTGTGTCATCTACAGGGAAGCCGTGCGAACATCTATGGCAGCAGGAAAGAGGGCCAAAGACACACAGCTATTAGCAGGCGTTAAATCAGATAAAAAATGAATGGAGTCTGGTACAAAGCTCACAGCGCTAAGTTGAAATAAATCAGAACAAAGACGCAGAGCTACATGCTAGCACAGTTTGGATTAGAGAAAAGTGAATAGTCTGGTGCAGAAACCACAGCTCTCTGTTAAAGTAAATTAGTGCACGGAGCTACATGTTGGCATACTTTGAATTGGATCGGGGGTGGGGGAACTCCAGTCCTCGAGGGCCGGTGTCCTTCAGGTTTTATGTGTCATTGATCCAAGAGAGCTGATTGAAATGGCTAAACTACCTCCTCTTTATTGAAGTTCTCCAGAGTCGTGGTAATGAACTAATCATTTATTTCAGGTGTGTAATATCTATCTATCTATCTATCTATCTATGTATGTATGTATGTATGGATGTATGGATGGATGGATGGAGAGCGACAGCACTGATCTGTGAGTGATGATAATTTGTGCACCAATTCCTCTGACATCGTCTTATTAATCGTTAGCTTACTATGCAAACATGACAAGTGAAATCTCCCGCAGCTTAAACATGTGAGAGGTTGATCGCGCAGAGAATCGCTGAGCTTATGTGAGTAGTGTGTAAAAGCATTTCAGTTCTGCTGAGCCAAATAAGACAGGTCAGGGTGAAGAAGTGACAGCCAAAGAAAAGCTTACCACAAAACGGAGAAGTTATGACAAATCAGACTATAAGGCAAAAAGAAAGTGCAGCTTTATGGTTTCATGGACAAAAGAATTTCTGTGGCTGCAATATGATGAGCTAAATAACCAGGGCTGCACATAAGTGGTCCGCAGGTGCGCATTCGCTGTCAAAATAAAAAACACGCACAAGGGTTAGGGTTAAATTTAAAAACTGTACTTTTGAGTTAAAATATATATTTATAATTTTAATAAATGACAAATTAAAAAGGCATGAACATTTTTTGTATCGAAAAAATATCGAACCGTGACACCAAAGTATCGAACCGAACCGAACCGTGAATTTTGTGTATCGTTGCACCCCTAATATATATGTAGTAATGTGATGTTATTGTCTTCATGTTGTGTGTGTGTGATGTGATTATGTATATATATATATATATATATATATGCTCCAGAGTGTATATGATATTATGTATATATATAGTATTGTATATATATATATATACTACTTATACATGATTATTATATATATATATATATTATATAATAATTAATATATATATGTGTAGTATATATATATATATATAATAATAGTGTAATATATGTGTGTGTATATGTTGATGTATATATATGTGTGTTATATGTATGATATTGTGTTATATATATGTGTTGTATATATATGTGTGTGTATTATATATGGGTATATATATATATTGTAATTATATATTTATATATTATATAATATATATATATATATATATATAGTGTATGTGTATATATATGTGTGTGTATATATATTTTGTGTATATATATATGTGTATATATATGTGTGTGTATATATATATATATATATGTGTGTGTGTATATATGTATATAGATATAGATATAGATATAAAAATAAATAAATAAAATATCTAAAACCTAAATGACACTGGCTCTTGAGGCTGGAGTTCTCCACACCTGGATTAGATGAAAAGTGAATTGACTAAGGTGGGAACCGTGGCTCAGGGGGTTGGGAAGCATATCTGTAACCGGAAGGTTGCCGGTTCGATTCTCGGGCTCTCTGTCCTGGTCGTTGTGTCCTTGGGCAAGACACTTTACCCTACACCTACTGGTGTTGGCCAGAGGGGCCGATGGGCGATATGGCAGCCTCGCTTCTGTCAGTCTGCCCCAGGGCAGCTGTGGCTACAACCGTAGCTTGCCTCCACCAGTGAGTGAATGTAATTTAATGAATGTAAAGCGCTTTGGGTGCCTTGAAAAGCGCTATATAAATCCAATCCATTATTATTATTATTAACTGAACATTAAAACCTGCAGTCTCCAGTGACAAACTGTTTCTTAGATTTAAATCAGATGGAATTGAAATTGACTGGGGCAGAGATTGTTTATCTCAGCACTGATGGAATAGTTATTTCATTGATCCTAATATTGATTGTTGATTTGCTCTTTTGGATGATGTAATGACCTCTGACCTGTTACTGGATATAAGAGCACTGATGAATGTTGATCCTGTTTTGATTTTTAATCTGTTTCTTCCGCAGTATGGAGGATGATGAACTTCCGTCAGAGGATGGGATGGGTGGGTGTGGCTTTCTACTTGCTGCTCAGCGTCATGGCGGCGTACTACATCTTTGAGGTCCACAGCTTTAGTTTGGAACGTGTGCAGAGAGCAGGTACCAGCCCATCGGCTCCACCTCCTGCTATCACTGTCCATGGATCACTACTTCCTGTGTGGATGTGGGCATTGATCTTCCTGCTGCCATACTTGCAGCTCTTTCTCTTCTTGTTCTCGTGCACAAGGGCGGACCCCCGCGCTGTTGGATACTGTGTGCTTCCTGTCTGTATCGCCCTTCTGTACAGCCGCCGCCATGCCGCCAAATTGGCCAATCACAGGGCAGCAGGATCGCTCATCGACACGTAGGGGACGACCAATCAGAGAGCCTCCCACGTGATGAGGGGTGGGATGACAGCAGGACTAGTTTGTGATATCATTTCCTGTGTGCCTTTTAAACACTCCTACAAGTTTTGCCCTGATTGCGGCCTGACAGGAAGTTCTGCTGCTCTCAGTACAGACTCACAGCACCCTGTGAAAAAGCCCCTCCCACCAGTGGCAACCAGTCTTTTTCCCCTCTGTTTTTTTTTTTTTTTTTTTACTGTTGTGACATCAGTAATGTGTTGTGATTTGTTGCTTGGCTGTGAGTCACTTTATTTGCATTAGTTATTTGTTTACTGACAATGCAGTGATGTTGCCATGGTTACCTGATACATTATTTAGGTTAAGGTTAACTGAAAACCTCACAGCCAATCGGTGAGCAGGATTCCTCTGAAATGTGGTACTTTTCTCTATTTAATGAGTCACATGAAACACTGTTTACCTTGACATCTTTATTGTGTCGTCAATTTAAAAAATGAAAAATCAATGTGAAAGTGTTCTCAGGTGTTTCAGGTTCGTGATCTTTTTGAGGGAGGATGCACTTCACAGTTCTCTTCTTCCTCAGCTTTCTTGTCCTCTTCACTGCTGTCTTCTTCGTCCTCATCTGTGACAGGTGAAACAGACAGGTGATGATTCTACATTGAACCAGGAGCATCAGACACCTGCAGTAACCAGCATCCTGCCAATTCACCAATCAAAGCGCTCAATCCACCAACAATAGGTCTTCAGTGACAATATCACAGTTAGTGATTCTGATTTTTTGATCAGGTGAGACAGGTGCTACAGGTGTTTAGCACTGACATTCATCAGTGCTCATATTTATTTATTTATTTTTAAATGAAACCTTTATGAAGTGAAAACAAACATTGACAAAAGGACACAGGCAGAGGTCAGTGCTCAGGTGTGCACTGGTACGATTATGTTTTAAACATTGTTTTTTTGTATTTTTTTTTTCTGAGAATAAAACAAACCAGCTGTACGTAGAACCGTGTTTGTGTCATTAATCATCAGCACAAACTCCGGATCAGATTGTGGATGTTCAGGATGAGGTTGTTGTCTAAGCACCACTGTCTGAAGTGTTGGCTCTCCTTTGTAGTCCTAACCAAAATAAGCCAGTGTGAGCTCAGGTTCAATGTTTGTCTCTGAAAATAGCGAGATGCTTTAATTTTTGGAAGTGTCTCGCAGGGCAATTTTTTCCGTGTTAAGGTTGTGCAATTTGCAGTAAACAATGTGCTCAGAATTGTGTGACTTGTTTAAATACTCTTCTGTTGAAAGTGAAAGGCTTACAAATACATATGCATAAGTCCAAAGATCCTCCTGTTCACAACTTTCAATCACAATCTGACTATGAGCATCTTTAATACATACAGCAGATTTTTAATAGAAAGAAGACTGCGCTCCGCAGACATCAGTAAATCTGACCCTAAATGTTCCTCCTCCTTTAAAACTCCAGCCTCTGTAATGAAGAATATTTTAACAGGCTGTTCAACAACAGGGTTAGAACACGTTATGAACTAAGATGTGTTTTGTAGTCCTTCTCCAGCACATTGTCGTTTCAACATGGCAAACATCTTACGTCATATCGTTAATGAGAGATGAGTGTAAAGCCATTCCAATTGTATGAAGTTACCAATTCTCAGGGGTCTCTCTTCTCTTTTCTTATCTTAAGTCCTTAGCAATATTCCTATTTACCTTCCCTTTATATTGGTAGGCAAAGAGATTTGGAATAGGAGGTATGAGGTACTCAAAATCTCTTGAAGTTCTCCAGAGGGCTGGTAATGAACTAATCATGTGATTCAGGTGTGTTAACCCAGGGTGATGTCGAAAACCTGCAGGGAGTGTTAGGAAGGTTATTTTTAAAATGTATTCCACTACACATTACAGAATACATGGCTGAAAATTAGGGCTGGGTATCGTCACTGATTTCTAGAATTGATTCGATTCCGATTCACAAGGTCTTGAATTGAATCAATCCACGATTTGATTTGAATCGGGGAAATTTTGCTTCAGACAATCAGAAATATTATAATTCTTATCACGTATCAGTACATTTCCATATTTTTATATCTATAAAAAGAACGCTGACACTTGTGAGACTTTATCAAAGGTGTAAGCATCACAGCAGATGCCTTTGTGTCAAAGTAACTGAGGATAAAACACAGAAAAACATGAAGGTGATTTTCCTTGCCTGGGATTTTATAGCAGATGACCTTAACTATTCTGCAGTAGATCAAAAATGAAAGAATACCATTAATTAACATATGAACATTACCTGATACTGCTGAAGTGAAGCAGAGCAAAGTTACAGAGGTTTTATTAGAGACACAGCTAAGCGTATTGCAATTTTGCATAATTTTTACAAAGTTCAGTAGCCTGTTGAACACAGAAATTGGTATTTCTTGTCGGAAGTATGTAAAAGGAAAGAAAACAGCAGCCGACAGTGCATGTTTATATCTTTGTGCAGAATCTGTTTACCTACCCTCATTTACTGTTTTAGCTGTTTGGTGGTTGTTGAAATTTTGTGAGGTTTAAACTGAGATTCTGGCGTTTCGGGCAAAATAAATGTATATTTAAAAATCGATTCAGGATTTTAATGAATCGATATCACGTTATCCAAGCTACAATCGATTTTAATTGAGAAAGCAATGATCAAAACCCACCCCTACCCAAAATGTATTTTGTAACGTAATCTGTTAAGTTACTCAATGACAGTAATGTATTCTGAATACTTTGGAATACTTAATATATTGTCATGGGTTTTACAGCTACATGAATGTACTATTGCTGTGTTACATTACTATTACTGAAGGCTACTTGCTATAGCAATACCAACTAGATTTTTAAATCTTAATATAAAATGAGTAACAGTATGGTGGACATCAGGTAAGGCTGCACTTTTTTGCAGTGATCTTGTATAGAAAACTATTTCTGTATCATTAATGTTTTCTTTTTGTCTGTTAATAATCATGTGGAATTGCAAATGAATATTTGTAGCTAGCAGGTTGTTAAAGCTATCCATCAAGTCTAAAAAAAGCATGTTAATATGTGGAGATCCTGAAGGCTGCTCCAAAAATGATCAGATTATATTTTAAATATTTATTCAAGTCTCTTCCAAACTCCAGCTGTTTATTTTAGGTTTGAATATTTACTAAAATAAAAATAAAAGCGTTCTAACATCTCACTTGTTTGTTTTTATTCAGGCATACATGTGTACTATGTTTATTCAGGGAGATTAAGCTTGTGTTTTAGTCATGTAGTGTGGTTAACTGTATGAAGCTTATTAGACATTGTGAAACAGATGATATTTAAAAGCAAATTTTGCAAAGTGCTTAAGATAATTTTTAAAAAAAATTTTCTTAAAGAAATCTACTACATTGTGTACAATTTTTTTTTTATGTCATGTGTAATTTCCATTGCAAATATTACTCAAACTTAAATTAAGAGGGAATGGCAGTAAAAACTCCAGAGCAGTGATGCCATCACGTACATTGCCATACAATGCCATAGAACAATCATGCTGCGTTCTTGGGAAGTTTGGGCTTCCTTGCGAGTCCGGACTTGCGTACCTGAGTACAGTGGTCCCTTGCTATAACTCTGTTCACTTTTCGCGGCCTCGCTGTTTCGAGGATTCTTTTTGTATGCAATTTTGCATGGGTTTTTTTGGAGGGGGGGGGGGGGGTTTAACAGCGCATTGTGTTTGTCGAGGAAACATTTTGCAAAGTCACCTGCGTAGCACCCAAAAGGCAGGGGAAGAAACCACTGCACAAAAAGTTGGACTTCTAAAGGAAGGTAGAAGTTGCCGTATTTTTTGGACCATAAGGCGCACCCTCTCCACTGAATTATAAGGCTTATTAAGTGAAACAAAACCGTCAGATAAGTATCTTGATGCATGCTCAATCATCCAGGTAGACGTCAGATAAGTACTTTACTCAACTCATTCTTCTTGCTTCCACTGCCTCCACTTCCATACATTGATTCATTAATGGTGAATTCTCTCGCAGGTGCTCTATTCCCATGTTCTGGACCTGAAAACAGGGCTTGGTCTTTGGTTTCACTCTATAATACTGGACTTATTTTTCTACGAAGCTTTGAACTTTGAGAGTGTCTAAACAAGAGAGAAAAGTGTGAAAATGTTCACAAAGTATGTAGTGAGGGGTTTAAAAGCCTTGAGACATGTTGACTGTAGCCATAGCAACTGTGCAAATACTTCCGTGCTACCTCTCCAAAAATGGCAAAAAGAAAGGCAGAAAACAGGAGCTTTCTGAACAGGTGGGAGACAGAATATCTGTTTACCTATGTAAAAGACTGACCTATTTGTCTTGTATGTGGAGCTAATGTGGCTATAACCAAGGAGTACATTAGACGACACTATGAAATGACACACCAAGACAAGAACCTGGACAATGTCCAGGTTCTTGAACCTGGACATGATTCAAAGGCGTCGGAAAACAGAAGAGATGAAAAGAAGTTTTGTTTGAAAACAGACTATGTTCAAAAAAGCCATATCACAAAGTGAGGCTGCTGTAAAGGCTAGTTTTATTGTGGTAGCAGAGATCGCAAAATCAGCCCGGCCCTTCAATGAGGGAGAGTTTGTGAAAAGGCGAATGATCAAAGTTTGTGACCTTGTGTGCCCAGAGAAAAAAGCAAACATTTTCAAATGTGAGCCTGAGCAAAAACACAGTAGCTGATTGCACACGTGAACTTGCCACCAATCTATATAACCAGCTGATGGAGAAGGGAAACCATTTCGTTGCATTCTCTCTCGCTGTGGATGAGAGCAGTGACGCCTCTGATACTGCCCAGCTTTCAGTCTTCATCCGTGGGGTGGACTCAAATCTCTGTGTTATGGAGGAACTTCTAGGATTAAAATCAATGCATTGCACAACCACAGGGAAGGAAATATTTGAAGAGGTTTCCAAATGTGTAACTGAAATGAAGTTGCCATGGGAAAACCTTGTGGGGTTAATGACAGATGATGCACCAGCGATGTGGAGTCAAAGGAGTGGACTGGTGGGCAGGGTACGGGAGAAGATGCGAGCGGAGAACTGTGCAGGTGAGCTAAATGTTTATCACTGCATCTAGTGCTGGGCGATATGACGATATATATATCGTTTGGACGATAGAAAAGTGTCTATCGTGCCATTTGTCTTCTATCGTTTCTAACCTAATTTTATAAATTATGACATAAAATATATCATTAACCCTTTAAAACCGGTC